TTCCCCCCCCCCCCTCCCTCCACATATTTCATATTTCTTGTGTATATTGATATGTGCGGCTTTCAACAATATATTGTGATATTGATATGTCAAAATTATTAGCATTTATATGTTTTAACATCAAAATATGTGCCAAAAATAATAAAAATAGGGAGAGTTATGTGTTTCTGATTTGGCGGATGTATGTTATATGTAATCAAGTTGAGTTATAAGAGGTTTTGTACATGTATAATTATTCATCTGTGTGTTTGGTATGCCTGAACAAATGTGAACAAGTGGAGGTATAAATGGAAGTAAAGTTATTAAGGGTATAAGAAAAATATGAACAAGTGGAGGTATAAGGAGGCGAAGAAAAAATTCTAAAATAATTCACATAAAGAATTTAATTTGATTTTCATTTATTTTTCTACTCTTATGATATCATGTTTCTTATAATGTTATTTAGTATATGCCTACTATAGTTACAATTTATTGCACTACTGTTGTCTCGATATGACGAGTTACATCGAGTTAGGTTATGACAGAATTTTTGGTATATGAGCAATGAATTTGGGGGAATGAATTTATAAATAGAGCCATAGGATTGATTAGTAAACGAGTGAGATTTTTGGGTAGTTTAAGATTAATCTTCTTTTTAACCTTTCTTTTATGTATATTATATTAAGTTATTGCGTGTCCTTGACCGTTGTAAGTATTGGGTAATTATGGATCCCCAAGGTCAGGATATGACAGATGAAAGTAGTTGTTATGTCCGATTTCATTACTCAATTTGCTAGTTTGGTGGCTCAATCGATGAGCGATACTCAAAACAGAATGTCAACTTCAAGAAAAGAGGGGGAAGATAGACATTTTACAGTTATTCTTGTGATTGAAGCCGCCTCGTTTCAAGAGAACAGTGGAGCCTCAAGTAGCTAAGTATTGACTACTAGAACTAGAGAAATCCTTATATAGCATGCAACGGCCATAAAATCGTAAGTTGCCCCTTGCAGCGTTTTTACTTTACGGTGAAGCTTAGGGCTGTAAAAAAATATTGTTGTTCTTAAATAACTTGTGCTAGCCTCGTTGAGTATCTCGTGTTCGGAATGTTCGTTAAGTAAACGACCCGAACACGAAAAATGTTTTAAATTTGAATTATAAAACGAACCGAACACGAACAACTCTTTGTTCGCGCATGCTTGATTCATTTTAGTTCAAAAATTAAAAAAAAATCATATAACTATTTATATAACAATATATTAAATATATTATTTACATCATGATATATTATATATATTTATATCTAAGTTTAAATCATAACAACTCATGTGATAATGTGGTTATGTGTCTTCTTTTACATAGATTTGGTCCAGATTCGAATATAACACTCTATATCTATTTTTTTCAATTAATTTTAACGAATCAATTTCGAGCGAAACACGAGACAAACATGAACAATAATAGTTAAATCAAGACGAACATGAACACACCGTTCACAGCCAATTTCGAACACAAGACGATTTCAAACTCGAGCAATTTCAAATGAGCCGAGCATGAGCTTGCTCAAGCTCCGCTTGTTTACAACCCTTGTGAAGCGTTGGTGGCTAAGCCAGTAGAGGGAGAGGCTTTAGCGCGAGCTGAATGCCAAGATTACTTAACCTATCATGCGCTAGTGAACTGTAACCCATAGCTTTTTTCTTTCTTCTATCATGTGCTAGTGAAATTTCCATCTTCGTGGGCGTAGGCGAATCAATTTAACGCCGAACACCATAAATTTTATTTATTTATCTGTTGTTGTGTGAATTTCTACGTTTCCGCATTGTTTCACATAACACTATTAGAAGTGATGGCCATAACAATTAAAGGTAAATTTATCCATCAACGAAAAAATATTTTTTTATCAGAATAATGCCTAAAATTTCATAATAAAGAATGATTATTTATCTCAACTATAGCATGAAACTTTAATTTTATTTGAGATCCAACCAATGACATGGATGATTTTAACTCAAACGCCTTTTATAGCATTATATATATATTATATATATATAGAATTTTACTACATAATTTAACCTAAAAAAATTGAAATAAAACCTACTTATAAGATTAAAATAATTAAATGCTTAAAGATAAATAACTCCACAATAATCAAGCTATTCTAAATTTATAATGAAGACTATTTTCACAGCATAAAGTAGATAAATGAAACTACGAGATCACAAAACAATAATTGAAGGGAAATTAAGGAAGAAAAAAAAAAGTTAAAGATAGAAGGGTAGGAGAAGGTGATGACTTAAAATTTAACATGAATTAACTTCAAATATTTAAATTAAATATAAATTACTATTTCAAATTTTATTTTATATTCCATATATACTACTCCAACTTATTTAAATTTATATTACAAACAACCATAAGAAATTAAGTAATTGCGCAAATGTAAGCGCATTAACAAGAAATCAAGCCAACATGGACTATAGTTCATTGGGTTGGCAACCTTTATCTTTCATGCATGCACAAATAAATGTCAAGCCCATGGGTTGCACTCACCAATTGGCAAGACCCCATCTGACTAGCTATTACAACTATCTCTCCTCGAAGTTTCATGTGGTTTTATCATAATTACAGTGAAATGTGCTCATTTGGTCAGATCATATGTGAATTCCCTAGAGTTATCACGACACATTGACATCTTAAGACCTAGAGAGAAGGAGAAATTGAAGGATAATTCAAAACAAATTCTAAGAGATAAATTATGACATTTCACTGGATTCATAGTCAATAATCGAATTATGTATGAATGATCACATATGTCAAACCTCTTCTCTACCCCCATTATTTATTTTACTTAAAATAAATAATTATTGACAAGTTATAAGAGTTCCATGCAATAAAATTATAAAATTCATGCTCCACAAAACACATAAGCGCATATTATTCTACAAAAAAAAAATCACAAATAAATGCATAAATTTACCATATTGATTTTATTTGCTAATTTGATAGGGTCATCTCATATGTTTAGGATAGAAAACACAAAAACTAGCTTATTACAAATCTCCAAATAAGTTAAGTAGATATGATTTCAATTCATTTGGTGTTGATGAGGCATTAAATATGCTTATCTTTGAAAATAAGTGATTTTTTATTATATATTTTGAAAATTTATTTAAAAATTACATTACTATATATTGTTTTCAAACTAAAATTTGAATTAATAAATATTATTTTAAAATTCATACATGTCCTTGGGGGTTGTTTGGTTATTTGCATTTGTGGTGTAATTTAAATCCAATGAAGGAGTCTTTAAAATTCTAGCATTTTGTTGGATGAAAACAAAGAGTGTCAATAATTGGACAGATATGCCAACTTGATTCAAACTTGACTCCAATAATCTGTGTTTGGGTTTACCCGAAAAAATTTTCAGGCCAGGTTTGGATTAGAAATTCTAACTCATTTAATTTTATAAGTTAAGTCTAGGTTGACCCGCCAACCAAAAACTAATCTGAAACTGATTCACTAACCCGAAATTATAAAAAATTGATTAAAAAAGGTTTCAAAATTGACCTTAATTTAACCTAAATTTGTCCCAAATAATTGTTGTCCTATGTTAAATGTGTTTTGCAGATTGAGTTCTGTTCAATAAGCTAAAGACGATCAAGTAGAGTTTGAGTTGAACATTGTGACCTGTTTAATATACGGGTCATATTCAAGTCTAGCAATAACGAATAAGACAATTTCGGGTAAAACTAAACATGAACCCTAAACTCCACTTGACTATCATAATGAAAACAAATTGCACTATAAATTTATAATGAATTTGGAGTCTTGAATAGATGTATTTTGATATATAACAAGGTTGAAATTAAAAAAAAAAGAAAAAAAAAACAACAAAGTCATGCATAATCACCTAGCTTTATAAGATATCGAGATAAAAATATATTGGACAAATTTGATGACATGCAAGTTTCTTTAAAAATCGATTGATGTAATGCTCATTCGACGCGTTCTTTAGTCACTAAGAAGAATTAAACTAGCTTAAAATATTTGCAACCCCATTTGACCTCATGCACTTAAGCCCATAGAAAGTGCACACAAAAAGGTTGATGATAACTTTTAAAAGCCTATCCAGTCTCCTCAGACTCCTCTTATCATATGGAGTATGAATTTACCTTTCCTATGCAATGAGATGCTCAATTTTTTTAGTGTTCTTCAAAGAAATTTAAAGAAAAAGATTTCTCAAAGCTAATTAAAACCCTATATGGCACATAATCACAAGCCATTCACAATATTAAATTTATCCCAACAAAACATTTGATCTACGAAAACGATGAGTTTTAAGTTTCATCTTTAAAATTATTGCGACTTGCACTGCATCTAATATATGAATTGTCAACGCTATTTATTTATTTATTTATTTTATTAAGATTAACAATTAATTAAAATATCATTGATAATCATTGAAATTTTTAGAAGATGATAAAATGTAACATATGTGCCACGTCATATTATGACGAATATAAACATTGATTTTTCAAACCATTAACCATAATACACGTGTGTTATCTAGAGTTTTGGGACGATGCATTATTTTCAATGATCACTCATCTTACCATTGACATCATCGCCACTTAGTTATCATTGGTTTATAGTTAATCGCTCGACCTAGTTGTGTTATGAATGAGTAAATTGAGTAAATCAACGGACGAAATCATCTAGTTACAAATTAAATATACTAACACATGATATTTTTAATAAATAATTTAAATTAACACAACATTAAAATATGACAAGTTTAAGAAAGTAGGATTAAACCAAAGAAAAATCTTTCTAACCTCTTTTTACTAGAGGCCTTAACCTCATAATGTGGTTTAAAATTTAAAAATTAGTTTATTGGGGGATTTACATAAATAACACAAAACATTTAATATTACATATTCACACCCAAACTTTCATATTTACATTTAAAATACTTCGTTACTGTGTTAGACGAATCAGAAAACTCTGACAACTGCCGATCTCGCCACTCCACATTGCCGTGAAAACTTCCCGCATCATCTACCTCTACATCGCCGTCATTCAGTGTGCCAAATTAACAGCCCTCGACAACCTCTTCCTATTCAGCTTCCCCTGCAATTTTATGGAGAGGTTTCCTCTCCTATTTTGAAGAGAAGTCTTTCTCTTCAAATTTGCAGGGGAGAAATCACAAGTTAATTTTAGACTTGATTCCTTATTGCTGGATATGATATAGTTGAGTTGAGGAATGAGGAAGAGTGAGTTGCTCCCCATTACCTCCCCTTAGGTCCCACTATGACTTATTCGTCCATCTCACCTTCATGGATCTCGAGCATCCCTCACGATTCGTCTCCAAGTTCGTCCATTTCTCCAAAATGAAGCGACTAGCTCATTCGATCTTCGAGATGGCAAGGAGTACCATAGGAAGGTGAATTTTAAGGGGGTTATATCTTTTAACAAAATGTGTTTTTTTTAAAGTTTATTATAATACTTGAGTGCTTGAAATATAAATATGAGAATTTAAGTGGGAGATATGTAATATTAAATGTTGTGAGTGATGATATGTATGAATGTCCGTAGATTATTAGCTTTGCTAAGTTGAAGGGCTAGCCCGACCGGCCTTTAAACCGATACGGACGCTCGTCCGATTTGGTGGCTCTGTCCTTCCAAATTCCCGTTGATTCATCGCAGAAAAGGGTTGCACATCCTTCCGCGTTGTCGATCATGGCGGCAGAGTCGCCAACCTCCGACCGCAAAGGTAGCGAGGATGAGCGACAGTGTCCAGAGAGCTTTATGCTTCTGTTCTAGGGTTGGGTTATCACCCCATCTGATTTTTTTACTCTGTTTCATGCCATTCTCTTTGTTTATTTGCAGTGGTTGTTCACCTGAGAGCGACCGGCGATGCTCCCATCCTCAAGCAGGCGAAGTTTAAGGTATGAGCGGAAATTTTCATTTGAATTTTCGAGCTTTGATAACTTTAGTTGTTCATCGGCGGAGCTGTGGCCGCAAAATATTGATGAATTTAATATTGACCAGCAATAAGATGAGAAATAGTAAAATGCACCATTAACAAAGAATAAGATTGTGTTTCTACTAGCACAGTATGGTGTTCTCAGGCTGGGCATTGCTAAAGGATTTCGCCACTTGGACCATGAAGAACCTTTGTTTTGCTAGAAATGGTACGCTGAGATGCTGAATGGGAAATGTTTGATAATGTTAGATTTGTGAGGTTATTTAACCTCTTAAGAGAGTTTGTGTGTTAGTTTTTTGATTATTGGTGATGAAATGCCATGTTTTGTTCATGGATTTTTTTCCGGTTCTTCTATAGATGAATACATAGCTATCACTGTCCTTGTATTATAGTCCAATGAAATAAAATAAACTTGAAAATAAAAGGAAAAATGTATCCATAGAGTGGCATTGTTCAGTAAATTATAATTATGAGAAACTAAGCTTGATGATTTTTAGGGCTCATGGTAGGTGGAAACCATGTTTTAGAAAGGGGTGTATTTGTTTTTACTCATTTTTGGTTTTAAAATGATATCTTCACTTTTTGAGGGATTTTGAAGGTGCCTGTGAATTGTCATTTTAATTTCCAACTGCATTCAACCAAATGATGAAATCCAAAATTATTCAATGTTTTTCAATCCATTTTTTTGTAACTTCTAGCAACCAAATGCACCCTTAAATTGAATTTGTTTTGAATTGTGGAAGAAATAAAATCAATCAAATAAGATTTAACTAATTTTGTATTATGCCAGAGATGGGACTGAATAGTTTTTATATGTCTTCATGGTTGCTGTTGGAAATTCTATGGATAGGAATATGAATGGGGAAGTAAAGATAATTTTATTTTATCGGGACATGCATATTTTTTTGGCTTTTGTGTTTATATTTACATTTATATGGCATAGGATTTGAGGCCGGAAAAATATTGATGTCAAATTCAAACAAAATAACAAAGATGGTAGATAGAGATAGAGAGATGGAAGACAACTCATGAATTTAAAAGTTAAGAATCGATTAGAGATGGAGACATGTTTACGCTAGTTCTTCTTCAAGGATCCCTCTGGGAAAAATGGAAAGAGCTCGCATATAGGATAAGTAGAATTTTATTTATAAAAAATGTTACATTACATAGTTCTAGCCTAAGGATCCTTATTATAGAGTACTAAGAGTAGCATCCCTAATAACAAGATACCAACACTCTTAAAAACACTGTATCAACTAATCCTAACAAAATAAAAATGACCATGGGTCAAGACAAACAAACTCAACTATATCACTGAAATGACATCTATGCTCTAATTCATAGACATAAATAAATAAATAAATAAATAAATAAATAAATAAATAAATAAATATATA